CCCATTCCCACAAGGTGTCCTTTGATGTGCACTTATCCACACCCCCACACATACACAAAATAGACAATATTATGAAAAGGTAAAAAGAAATCTGGCTTCCTCAACTAGACTGGGACTTTCCAGCATAGACTTGTTTCTTTACCCGCCTTCAGCGTCTGTAGGGTCTGCAGTTTCTCGTTACCTTCATTCCTGACAGTTCTTGTGGACAGGCTGTTTTCTCTCTTTTTCCTGTCATTGTTATTAGAGGTTTAGTGTTGCCGTGGTTAATTTCCGTGGCAGCTTGCTTGGGCTAAGGGATGTCTAGATGGCTGGTACAATACTATTTCTGAGGGAGTTTCTAAAGAGTTAGCACTTGAATCGGGAAACTCTCCGGTGTGGGTGAGCATCACCCAGTCCTTGATCTGGAGCATCTTCTTCTCCTGACTCCTGCTCGGAGGCCTTTGACCTCAGGCTGCGCGACACACCACCTGTTCCCATGCCCTTGAACCTAGACTGGCCTTCCTGATCTTTTAAGTCACAGGTCAGGTATTACAGAATTCTTGGCCTTTGTACTTGTCAGCCAGTTCCTGTAAGTTCCTCCTGCAGCTGGACAGTGTCTTTCATGCACTCTGATCAATGCAGTTTTCCAAAAAACAGCCTTGTTTTCACCGTGTCTCTTTATTGCTTTGTGTTCATTGACTTATTTATTTATTTATTTTATTTTGTTTACAGTGTTCTGTCTGCATAATACCTCCAGGCCAGAAGAGGGCACCAGATTTCATTACAGATGGTTGTGAGCCATCATGTGGTTGCTGGAAATTGAACTCAGGACCTCTGGAAGAACAATCAGTGCTCTTAACCTCTGAGCCATCTCTCTAGCCCCCAACTTATTTATTTTATTATGCCAGAAGAGGGCATCAGATCCCACTATAGATGGTTGTGAGCACCATGTGGTTGCTGAGAATGGTCCTCAGGACCACTGAGCCATTTCTCCAGTCCCTTGTTTATTGTGACTTCTGATATCACACTTACTTTGAAAGTCTGTGTTACCTTAAGATTGGAAACAAGGCCGGGTGGTGGTGGTACACGCCTTTTATCCCAGCACTTGAGAGGCAGATGGATCTCTGAGTTCTTAGGCCAGCCTGGTCTATAAAGAGCTGGTTCCAGGACAGACAGGGCTACACAGAGAAACCCTGTCTTGAAAAAAAAAAAAGCAATCAGGACTACTTAAATATATCCAAGTTTTGTACAAAAACAAAACCAAGTCCAAGATCCCCAACTCCATCACTTTCTGGAAATACAATAATAAAATGGCTATTTTGAGCAGCAACAATGACAAATAGTGTATGTGTTGAAAGACCGAATAGTCACTGGAAGACTCAAATCAGTGGCTTGGATGAACAAGTGGAAAAAATATTTCAAAGCACACAGCAAATACAAAAGGATGGAAATAATTAGAAAAATACCAGTAGCTCTGATACCAAATTGTTCTGGCTCCAGAAGAAGAAAAGGAGCGATAGGAAAAGACAGCAATTACGGAGTAGAAAAATACCTTGCTGACCCAGAGAAAGACCCAAGCTTACAGACTGGAAAGGCGCAAGGTAAAAGAAAGCAGAAACATGTAGACAGGAAATGCCGGGATTTCGAGGTCATGGAAAAAAAATCACTGTCCAGTTCTAGACAGAACCAGTTATTGACAAAGGGAGATGGATCAGCTTGACAGAAATCACTGCAAGTGGGAAACTGAAAAGCAAGGACACCCAGGCTCTTATGCAGAAAAGGCGTTCACCTGTCAGGGCAAAAACAGAAAGGGACCAGAGCCAAGTTTGACAGTCTGTGCAACAGCTCAGTCCCTGGAATCCACATGGTAGGAAAGAACGGGCTCTGGTCTACATACACATGCATGAGCACCCGTGTCAGGGCACAACCAAGGGCAACCTAAGCACTTCCACATGTGTGGACACATCTGTGTGCATGCACATACCCAGCTCCACATCTGTGTGCACACACATGCGTACGTACCTCCACATCTGTGTACACGCACTTACCTAACTCCACATCTGTGTACACGCACTTACCTAACTCCATGTCTGTGTACACGCACTTACCTAACTCCATGTCTGTGTACACACACTTACCTAACTCCATGTCTGTGTACACGCTCTTACCTAACTCCACATCTGTGTACACACACTTACCTAACTCCACATCTGTGTACACGCACTTATGCACCACATCTGTGTACACACACTTACCTAACTCCATGTCTGTGTACACACACCTAACTCCACATCTGTGTACACGCACTTAATGCACCACATCTGTGTACACACTTACCTAACTCCACATCTGTGTACACACACTTACCTAACTCCACATCTGTGTACACACACTTATGCACCACATCTGTGTGCACGTACATCTGCACCTCTGCATCTGTGTGCACACACATGTGCACTTCCACTTCTCTGTACATGCATATACCCAACTCCACATCTGTATGCGTGCACATGCACACCTCCACACCTGTGTGAACACATGTGTTCCTCCACATCTGTGTGAACTCACAGATACACACAGCCCTAGTTGTCTGGAACTCACTCTAGACCAGGCTGGCCTCAGACGCACAGAGATCACCTGCCTCTGCCTCCAGAGTGCTACGATCAAGGGTGTGCTCCACCGCTGCTCTGCTGGCTTCCCATTTAAGTAATGATTGTAATACAAAGTAAAACCATGTACATGCTTTCGTTCTTGTTGTCAGGACTGGAGAGGGGCTCAGCAGCTAAGACTGCACTGCTCTCGAAGAGGACCTGATCTGGTTCCCAGTGCTGCTGCAGGGCTGCTTACAACTGCCTGTCACTCCAGCTCCAGAGGATCCAGATTGAAAAGATGACAAAGATAGAGAAACATCTCAGCATTTAGGAGCACTGGCTGCTGCTTTAGAGGACCCAGGTTCATTTCCCAACATAGCGGTTGTGTCTGAATTCCAGCTCCAGGGAACCTGGGGTCTTCTGGTCTCACTGGGTACCAGGTACACATGTGCACAAGTGTGTGTGTATGTGTGTGTTATATTACCCATACTTATAAAATAATAAAGTAAAAAATTTAAAGAATTGACAAAGACCAGGGTCGTGAGGAGTAGGGAATGAGCAGTCCACATTCTTCACCCCACATGTGCTATCTAAGGGGAGGCTGGCAGTGTGGGAAAAACGTTTGTTTTATCTAATTTTTTTTTCCAAGGCAGGGTTTCTCTGTAGCTTTGGAGCCTGTCCTGGAACTAGCTCTTGTAGACCAGGCTGGCCTCAAAATCACGAAGATCTGCTTGCCTCTGCCTCCTGAGTGCTGGGATTAAAGGAGTGCGCCACCACTGCCTGGCCCTACTTTTTTTTATTGTAATTTATTTTATCTTTTAAAGATTTCAAAATGTTTTATCATATTTGTTTCTATCTCTGTGTGTGTATGTGTGTGCTGTGTGTGTGTGACTGCATGTTGTGTGCAGGTGAGTGGAGGCCAGAGGTGTCAGATCCTCTGGAGCTGGAATGACAGGCAGTTGTGAGCAGCCCTGCGGCAGCACTGGGAACCAGATCAGGTCCTCTTTGAGAGCAGTGCAGTCTTAACTGCTGAGCCCCTCTCCATTCCTCATTTGATTTGATTTCTGTGTGCATGGGTGTTTACCTGCACGTGTGTGTGCACCATGCATGTGTGCGCATGGGTGTTTACCTGCACGTGTGTGTGCACCATGCATGTGTGCGCATGGGTGTTTACCTGCACGTGTGTGTATACCATGCATGTGTGCGCATGGGTGTTTACCTGCACGTGTGTCTTTGCACCATGCATGTGTGTGCATGGGTGTTTACCTGCACGTGTGTGTGCACCATGCATGTGTTCGCATGGGTGTTTACCTGCACGTGTGTGTACACCATGCATGTGTGCTCATGGGTGTTTACCTGCATGTGTGTGTGCACCATGCATGTGTGCGCATGGGTGTTTACCTGCACATGTTTTTGCACCATGTATGTGTGTGCATGGGTGTTTACCTGCACGTGTGTGCACCATGCATGTGTGTGCATGGATGTTTACCTGCACGTGTGTGTGCACCATGCGTGTGTGCGCATGGGTGTTTACCTGCATGTGTCTGTGCGCCATGCATGTGCCTTGTTTTTATTTTTAATCAAGTGTTTGTATGTGTATGGGCGTGGGTGTGTACACTGGAGTACTCTGCCGGCAGAGGCCATAAGAGGGTGTAAGATCTCTTAGTGCCTCAACGATAAGTGATTGCAAGCCTCTGAATATGGGAGCTGGGACCTGAACTCAGATCCTCTGCATGAACAGCAAGAACTTTTAGCCTGTGACATGGCTCTCCAGGCCCTCTCTGAACAATGCTTTAACTTGTTTTTCTAGAAAGTACCCTGTCAGATGTGTGCGGCAGCAGAGATGTACACTTGATTTGTGTGTGTGTGTGCATGAAAGGTATATGAAGCTATTGTTTGTAAGGTCACTTGTTCACAGCATTCATTTTCCCCAGGTGTGATGGGACACACACACCTTTGATCCCAGCACTTGAGAGAGAGAGACAGGTGAATCTGTGAGTTTGCAGCCAACCTGGTTGACAAGGCGAGTTTCAGGCCAGTTCTAGACCTAAGTAGTAAGACCCTGCTAAAAAACAAAGTGAACTAAAACAAAACCCCAACAAAACAAAACGTCACACTAACAAAAAACCCACGAAAAAATACTGAGGTGGATTTCCAGCAAACGATGAGAATGAATGAAAAAAGAAGAGATTTTATTGTTGCATGGGGAGGAGTAGAAAGAACCAGACACTCTCAGACTTTGGTGGCCTTTGTCCCTCTGGTCTCTTCACATCTGGAGAGCCCTGGGCAAGAAGCTGGCCTGTGCCCAGTCCACAGAGGGTGCTCGCGTCACCCCACACCGCGTCTGTGGTCAGCTGCCCGGAGAGGTGTGTACCTAGAGCCTCCATGGTCCCCTGGCAGGTCTTGTGTGCAAGTCCCTGACTCCAAATTGGGTAGGGGAGTGCAGTGAGGAGCCCTGGCCCTGGGCTTGACAGGTAGAGAAGAGCTGACGTCATCATCTAAGTGTGGTGCATTGACTTCTAGGGATGGCAGGACCAAGATCGAGGTGTCACCAGCCCCCAGAATGTTGTCTGTGACATAGAAAGGTAGATTGTGAGTGAGGTCACTTCTGGTGACACACATTATGAATCTAAAACATGAGTTCCCTTCCCCTAGCCATGCCCTGTCTCTGACCACAGCTATAGAATCAGAGCTTGCCTTACCTGGGGCAAGGGACAGTGTCGCCGAGCATACCACTCCTGGCAGTACAGGCTGACCTGGATGCCCTGGCCCAGAAAGAGCAAGGTCCACATCAGGACGTTCCAGGCTGGACCCGTGTGCCTGTCGTTCATGGTGAAGTTCAGAAGCCCTAGGCCAGGAGATGGCTTGTCAGTTCAGCTCCACATCCCTGTGTCTTGTCTCCTTTTGCCTCCCATGCTAGGGGCTAGGAAGTGATGTACCAGAAGGGAAATCCGTGCTCCCCAGACAAGATCTTGGACCATGGGACTGGGGGAAGTTCAGTTTGCCCTCACTTCTTGAATCTTATGCTGTATTTCCCAGACATACCAAGGTTTCCCCATTCCCTCCACATCCTTTGACCGAATGCTTCTCTGTAGCCAGAAACCTTTCCCCTAGTCCCTCTGGATATGCCTATTGCTTCCTGAGGTCACTCAGACCCAGCAGACCCCAGAAGACCTGAGGGTCGCCGGAGCAGGCAGGCCTCCACCCACCCACAACCAGCGGCCTCCCAGCTCTGGATCAGAGGTTACGCTCACCCCCAAACACAAGGAAGAGCATCAGCATGACGGGGTAGAAGAACCCCAGGACGAAGCAGAAGATGTACTCGTGCACAATCGCAGACATCAGGAACACGCCCAGCATGGCCGCCCTACGGGACCGCCTGCCCAGAAGCTGGTGGGCAAGGAAGAATGAACGCGTTTCTTGCGGTACCATCTCTCTCTCTCCAAGAAGCCGGGAAGGAGTGGGGTTAAATGGAGAGAAAGTGGCGTTTGGGGTCAGAGAGTCCACACTACTCTTATTGAAGGGCATAGTTCTATTGATCCTAAGTTGCGATTTTATTGGTTTGGGGGTTTTGTTTTTTGTATTTTGACAGGGTTGGAGACATTTGCCTTACACGTGCCAGGAAGGTGCTCTATTATTAAGATATGTCCCCAGCCTTTATTAGTACTAATATTATTGTTTTTGTTTGTTTGTTTTTTGAGACAGGGTCTCTCTTTATAGTCCTAGCTGTCCTGGAACTCCACGTGTAGCCCAGGCTGGCCTTGAGTTCACAGAGATCCTCCTACCTCTGCCTCCTGAGTGCTGGGCTTAAAGGCGTGTGCCACCATACCTGTCCCCCAACCTTAATTTTTTGTGCATGCATGTTCATGTTTTGTGTACAAGTGCACATTGCCTGAGTGGGCAGGCCAGAGGATAATGTTGTTACTTGGGGGCCTTTTGTGGGTTTTTTTTGTTGTTGTTGTTTGTTTTTTGCTTTGTTTTGTTTTTTTGAGGCAGTGTTTTGTTTGTCTGAAACTCAGCGGGAAGGCCAGCGTGGCCGGCCAGCCCCAGATATCTCTCCTTTTATCTGAACAATATTATTGGGGCAGAATAAAAGGAGAGGGCACCCGAAGAAGCCCATTTGCTGGGACTGTGAGAACTGAGAGGTGTGAATAGCTCCTACCCACAGCCCTGGGACTGTGAGAACTGAGAAGTGTGAATAGCTCATACCCACAGCCCTGGGACTGTGAGAACTGAGAGGTGTGAATAGCTCCTACCCACAGCCCCGGAACTATGAGAACTGAGAAGTGTGAACAGCTCCTACCCACAGCCCCGGAACTATGAGAACTGAGAAGTGTGAACAGCTCCTACCCACAGCCCCGGAACTATGAGAACTGAGAAGTGTGAACAGCTCCTACCCACAGCCCCGGAACTATGAGAACTGAGAAGTGTGAATAGCTCATACCCACAGCCCTGGGACTGTGAGAACTGAGAGGTGTGAATAGCTCCTACCCACAGCCCCGGGACTGTGAGAACTGAGAAGTGTGAATAGCTCCTACCCACAGCCCCAGAACTATGAGAACTGAGAAGTGTGAACAGCTCCTACCCACAGCCCCGGGACTGTGAGAACTGAGAGGTGTGAACAGCTCCTACCCACAGCCCTGGGACTGTGAGAACTGAGAGGTGTGAACAGCTCATACCCACAGCCCCGGGACTGTGAGAACTGAGAGGTGTGAATAGCTCCTACCCACAGCCCCGGGACTGTGAGAACTGAGAGGTGTGAACAGCTCCTACCCACAGCCCCGGAACTATGAGAACTGAGAAGTGTGAACAGCTCCTACCCACAGCCCGTCTTGATACACATAGCTGTACAGCCAGTCATGGACCACCACGTTCCAGGTACGGTAGTAGTTGGAGAAGGAAGTAGAGTTCCACCAGTCCTAGGGAGGGTGTGGATTTGGGGAGGAATGGAGGTGAGATCTCAGGTCCCAGGTACTGCTGTGCCCCACACCCACCCCACTTCTATCCTCTTAGAAGGGTTGGCTCTTGGCCAAACAGAGACAGCAACATTCTCCCCCTTCCGTCTTCCAATCTCCCTCCCCCCCACCAGCCACTCAGAGACAAGATCTTGACACCCCACCCACACAAGAGGAGCAGCAGCATCCCCACACCCTGAGGCCCTATTGCAGACCAAAACCACTGGAAGGTGACACCCACCCCAGCTACCCTCTTCCCTGGGCTCTTGGTCAATCTCCCCAACCACTGCTCCCAATGGGTCCAGGCCGCACCCGGTAGAACATCCTGTCTCCAAATCGCAGCATCTCGGCGAAGGCGTTGAGCCAGCAGTGCAGGAAGGCGAAGAAGATGAGGAGCAGCATGAAGATGCCTGGGGGGCAGGACAAGAGGTGCAGCCCCACAGCCCCCGGCTCTCTAGAGCCTTTGCCCAGCCATCAGGGCCCCGACACTTAGCAAGCATTCATTCACTCATCATCCATGCATTCCTTAATTTACACATTTGCTAATGTGATTGATATCCGCCTATGGCTGAAAACCAGAAATACAGGCGCACAATGTCCCTGACCTTTGGAAATTCATAACACTGAGACAGACACACAAAGGTTGAAAGTCATGTATGGATCAAGGTCAGGTATAATGGGAACTAATGGTCACAGCAACCAAGGATGTTCAAGAGGATACAGAACAAGGAGTGAACTGGAAAAGAAGTTTGGCTGTGAGGCGGGCAGTGCACCTGTAATCCTAACTACTGGGGCTGAGACAGGAGGATCACGTGAGCCAAGGGCTAAGGGTAGCCTAAGCACATAGCAAGGCCCTATCACAAAATAATAAAAATAAGTATATGCAATAAAAGAAAACTTAGAAAAGGAAGAGTAGGAAGAGAAGCTTCCCAGAGAGGACCATCTTAGCTGTGGGCCTCCAGGAAGGAATCCGATTCCGTAGCTGCAAAGTAGAGAAGAGGCATTCCAAGCTGAACCTCCCGCTATGGCAAGCCTGCAATCCTAGCTACTTGGGATAATAAGGCAGAAGGATTGAGTTTAAGGCCATCCTGGGTAGAGGGTGTTTCAAAAACAAACATAAACATTTTAAAAAGAAAGGAAAAGAGAATATCAAAAGGCTGGAGAGATTGCTCAGAAGTTAAGAGTGCTAGCTACTTTTCCAGAGGACCCAGGTTCAATTCCCAGCATCCACACAGAGGCTTACAACCATCTTTAACTCCAGTCCCAGGGGATCCAGCACCCTCTTCTGGCCTCTGTATGCACCAGGCACGCATGTGGTGCACAAACATGCATTCAGATGCAATATCCATACACATTAAAAACCGTCCCACCTGAGCAACCTAGTGAGACCCAGTCTTAAAGTAAGACTTGTAAAGAGGGAAGGGTTGGAGATCAGTGGTAAAGCCGGCATGTGTGAGGCCTTAGGTTCATTCCCCAGTGCAGAAGGAAGGGAGGGAGAAGGAACACAGGCAAGCAAGAAGGCAGGAAGGGCTTTTGAAGCAGGGCCATGGTGATTAATTCACAGGAGGGATTTCATCTGGGCAGCAAATCTGGGCCCAAGGGGGAAAGGGAAAAGTAGGTGGGGAGCTAGGCCACCAGGCCACGTGAAGGTGGTGGCGATACGCATGGGAGGGAGACAGACAGAGTGAAACCCGTCCTGACAAGTCTTCCCAGGGCAGGGCATGGCCTTTCTGCACTGTGAGGAAGCTCTTACCTGGGCCCGTGGCGTGCAGGACCGAGAGCAGCAGAGCACGGGTGCTGAAGGGTTCCCGGCTCATGTTGGCAAAGACAGGGACACAGAGGCGGCACAGGATGAAGCAGGCATAGAGCATGCAGCCCAGGGCCTGCACAAAGGACACACAGCTTTGTCAGGGTGCTGCCTCCTTCCCAGCCGCCCCTACGTCTAAGCCACCCTGAGTCAAGAGCTGGCCATCTTCTACCCCATCTTCTGACCTGAGCAAAGTTCTTGGCCACATAGTTCCACCTGATGCTGGGTGTCCTGCAGCAGCGATAGGAAAGCATAGTTATCACCCTTTTATGTCATCCACTGCTAGACCCTCAGCCCTCTCCAGGCTCCCTCCATCACCCAGACCCGAGAGGATTCCGTGGGGTTGCGGCGGGGGAGAGGCAGGGACGGGGGGGGGGGGCACTAGGCTCCCTCTTTTGCCCAGACCTGGGGTGTGGAGGACAGAACCCAGGACAGAACCAGGTTGATTGCTAGGGACAGTGGATCACGGGAAGGTGTGGGGCAGGGAAGGGGCAGCCTGTTTTCCCTTTACTTCCTTCTGAACAAATGGCCAGTGCCTGTGGGAGAAGGGTACCACTCTCACTAGGCCCAGGCATGTGGGGAGGGGCGGCAAGGTCTAACCTGGGGTATGTCTCTCTGTAGATAAGTGTAGGGCAGAAGAGGAAGTAGAGGTAGCTGGAGAAACTAGGGGCACCGATACCCTTACCTGGGCAGGAATGAAAAGGCTGTGTTAGCATGGGGAGGGTGGGTTGGGGAGGGACCTAAGGTGTGCATCCAAAGGGTTGAACTCGCTCACATTGTAGACTGGCTTTCTAGACCCGCAGTGGCCACAGTCCCTTCTCCTCTGCCTTTACCCTGATCTCCTCTAAGGAGGCTCTCTCATCCCTGCCTTTTCAGATTGGGCCTGGGAAATGGAAAGCACCAGAAGGTCTGGGTAAACCGAATGATTCTCTCAGAAGAGGCCTGAGAATGCTCATGAATAGGGCCACTTGGTCCAGCTCAGGCCAGTTCTGTGTCTGCTGGACAGCCGGCTTGGGGCTGGCGAAGGCAGAACATTGCTTTTTCTGACTCCGCCCAAGAGGATCCAGTCACAGTGGGTCAGCAGGACACCTCACCTCTGACGCAAAGGATCCCAGGGACAGTCTCTCTCAGGAAAGAGTAGCTTTTCATCAGGAACCTGACCTGTAGTGGAAGAGATCTGAGGTTCTGAGAAAAGTCACTTAAACCTCTCTGTACTCAGATGTGAGCCAAGTCAAACCAGCCTGGCAGGAGCCCAATTTTCTTATTTTGTTTTTTTGTTCTTTGTTTCTCCTTCCTTCCTTCCTTCCTTCCTTCCTTCCTTCTTCCTTCCTTCCTTCTTCCTTCCTTCCTTCTTCCTTCCTTCCTTCTTCCTTCCTTCCTTCTTCCTTCCTTCCTTCTTCCTTCCTTCCTTCTTCCTTCCTTCCTTCTTCCTTCCTTCCTTCTTCCTTCCCTCCCTTCCTCCTTCCTTCCTTCCTTCCTTCCTTCTTCCTTTCTTTCTTTTGAGACAGGGTTTCTTTGTGTAACCCTGACTGTTCTGGAACTCACCAAGCTGACCTTGAACTCACAGATCCACCAGCTTCTGACCCCCCACCCCCCACCCCCCCGTGCTGGGGATTAAAGGTGTGTGCCAGCTGGGCAGTGGTGGCACACCTTTAATCCCAGCACTTGGGAAGCAGAGGCAGGTGGATCTGTGACTTATGCGTTTGAGACCAACCTGATCTACAAGAGCTAGTTCCAGGACAGGTTCCAAAGCTACAGAGAAATTTTGTCTTGAAAAACCAAAAATAAATAAAATAAAATAAAGGTGTATGCCACCACGGCCCTGCTAACATTTTTAATTTTTTGTCACATGACTTTATCGCTTAACTAGATAGATAGTGCTGTGACAAGGGCTAAGGTGGACAGGGCAGTCCTCATCCCACCAACTCTCTCCAGAGTCAGTGTTACCTGGCAACATCATTTGTGGACTTTCCTCAGAGTCACAGGCTTACCAGACCCAATGCTATGTCAGGGCCCATTCTCTGTGGACCTGGTCCAGGGATCACCATGTCCTCACCTGCTCAAAGACCAGCACGCAGCTTGAGGCAGGCGGAAGTTGATGCTTCACCGCCATGTGGACTGGAAGGATGCAGAGCATTGCTGCGTGGGCAGCCAGCAGAACACAGCCCAGGCCAGCCCCCAGCATCCAGGAGCTCCCAGCTAGAGGCCTGGCCCACAGCCGCAGGGTCTGGTAGGGCACTAGCAGAGTGGACAGGAACATGGGAACCCATGTCATCAGCGCCAAGGGCAGCTGTCCAAAGCTGAAGATGAGTAGGTCAAACTCCAGCATCAGCCTTGGAGAGAGGAAGGAAGACAGTAACTTGGGCAAACTGAGAGGTTTGTGTTGTGGAATATTATTTTAACTGGGCAAAGATATGCTGCATTTGTTTCTGTTGTGTTTAAATATGTAAAGAAGTGTTGCTGTGGGCTGGAGAGATGGCTCAGTGGTTAAGAGCACTGGTTGCTCTTCCAGAGGACCTGAGTTCAATTCCCATCAACCACATGGTGGCTCACAACCATCTGTAGTGAGATCTGGCGCCCTCCTCTGGCGTGTGGGTATACATGGAGGCAGAATGTTGTATACATAATAAATAAATTAAAAAAAAAAAAAGAAGTGTTGCTGTTTTACCTTGCCTGCCTAATAAAAGGCCTAATAAAAAGCTAGGCAGGAGAAAGTATGGTGGGGCTGGCGGGCAGAGAGAATAAATAGTAGGAGAAATCTAGGCCAGAGAGAAGGAGTGGATGGGTAAGAAGCCAGGCAGATGCCAGGCAGCAGACATCGAACACAGAAAGTAAGATATACAGGAGTTAGGAAGGTAAAAAGGTAGACAAACAGGTTAATTTAAGTTAAAAGAAGTAGCTAGAAATGTGTGTAAGCTAATAGTAAGCTTCTATGTCATGATTTGAGAGCTGATTGGTGGCTCAAAAGAACAAACCTAGTACAGGATTATTTCTTCTTTTTTTCTAGACTGGTATCCCAGGCTGACCATGAGCTCATGTAAGTAGCTGAGGACAACCTTGAATGTCTAATCTCCTTACTGCAGGGGTCACCAATGTCCAATTTATGCAGGGTTGGGCTAGACCCTTGATAGGCTGTGTTCTGAAAGTGTTCAAGTTTGCCCTGGTGTTGTGGGGACTCCCAGTGCAGACTGTTGCCTCAGAGACACAGTCTCAGGATAAGCTTGATCTAAGCGATCTTTGGAGCCCTAGGTCAATTGCTCGGTATGGCAAACATGAGGCTATGAACAGTTGAGATGAGCTTTGGTTTTATTTTTTTATTATTATTAATTTGGTTCCTCCATGCTCAGGGTTTTGCCTGGGAGGAGTGTATTGGCACTTGCTTGACTTCTCAGCTACTTCAGAGGCAGACGCAAGAGGATGGAAACTTCCTAGCTAGGACATAGGAAGGCCTTGTCTCCAAAATAAAGCAAAACAAATAACAACCAAACAGCTTTTTAAAAGAATGTATTGTTGGGGCTGGAGAGATGGCTCAGTGGTTAAGAGCATTGCCTGCTCTTCCAAAGGTCCTGAGTTCAATTCCCAGCAACCACATGGTGGCTCACAACCATCTGTAATGGGGTCTGGTGCCCTCTTCTGGCCTGCAGGCACACACACAGACAGAATATTGTATACATAATAAATAAATAAACATTTAAAAAAATAAAAAAAAAGAATGTATTGTTTAGGACTGGAGAAAGGGCTCAGTGGTTAAGAGCACTGACAGCTCTTCCAGATTCAATTCCCAGCACCCACAGGGTGGTTCACAACCATCTGTAGCTCCAGTTCCAGGGGATCCAATGTACGCTCTCTTCCGACCTATGACCCATGAAGGCACAGGAAACACTCGAACTATTAAAAACAAAAGCCCAGTGCTCAGGAGGCAGAGGTGGGTGGATCTCTGGGAATCTGATGGCAGCTTTGACATTTTACTGAGCCATGATCCCTTTAATAATGCTCTTATTCTTTTTATTTTGTTTGTTTGTTTGGGATAACCTCTTATTATATAGCTATAGCTGGCCTGGAACTTTCTACGTATACCAAGCTAGCCTTGAACTCATAGAGATCCCCCTGCCTCAACCTCCTGATGCTTAAAGGGCTGCAGCTGAACCAAGGTCCTCCATTCTTCTCCCACTTACAAGCCTGTCCCTGGGAGAGGTCGGCAGCACCAAAATGCAGGCCTCCTAGGGAGGGTCTTCCTCTAAAACAGATGGAGGTGCTGCAAAAGTGGGGATGGCTTCAGCCTCACCTCTCCGGACCCAGGGCTTGTACTTGATAGAAAGCCAATGGAAGGAGGGAGTGTGTGTGTGTGTGTGTGTGTCGCCTACCTTCCCTCATCAATGAAGTCGATGGCCAGGGTACTGATGATCAAGACACACAAACCCGCGATGAACATGTGGTAGATGGTTCGGAAATGCTGCACTTCCATCAGCTCACTGGAAGGAAGGAGCCCAAGGGTCAGGGTGGAAGGCTCTTCAGCAGCCTGCAGGAGCTCAGGAGCTTGGGGCAAGCCTGTGACTGGGACATCTCCTCTTGCTGATTGGTCCGCCTCGCTAACACAGGGCAGAGCCCTCCCAGACCCTCCCAGCAGAGCACGGAAGCCCCGTGACAGCTGTGGAACCCCCAGCCAACCCTTCTCTTCTTATCCTTTGTCCTCCCCACAACTTACTCGAGCAGTGACTTTCGGGTGATAAAAACCTTCCGTCTCACATGGGGTAACTCCCGGGTCCTAGATTGAGAGAGTGTTCAGAACTAGACCCCAAAGAACGAGGGTGGACGATGGAGGGCAGTGGCGTGCGGAAGGTAACAGGGAGCAACAGTGGCAGCAGGTCTGGAGGGGGCACAGCCAGACCTGAAAGATGGAGGCCAGGGCTCTGAAGACCGGGCACCAAAGCTGCCAAGGAAGAGCACCTGTGGGACCCTCAGACTCACTTGCTTGTATTATCTGGGGCAGTGGAGGGCAGAGGTCTGTCTTCCTGTGGGTAGGCTTGCACAGCCTCCCACATGGCTCCATCCAGCAGCTCTGCCAGCTGTACCTGAGCCTGCTCCAGGAACTGGGTCTTCACAGCCTGCAGGACGAAGCTGGGTTAGGGCTCACTGTCCCTCCCAGCAGCCATTCCTTCCTTACCGCGCGCGTTTCCTGAGCTCTCTGGACCACACAATGTTCAGTGCTAGGAACAGGAAGAGGTAAGAATGGCCCCAGAGCTTCCCCAACATCTCTGTCTTCTCGGGGCAGCCGTGAGGACAAGGAACCTCCGCAGAGGCTGAACATGGCAGCATACGCTTGAAACCAGCTACTTGGAGGCAGAGGCAGGAGGATGGTAAGTTTTAGTACAGTTTGAGTGAGGAATTCATCTTAAAGAAGAAAAAGAATGACGGTAGGAGGGAAGCTGTGAGACCACTGCCTCCAACCTCACCCTAACCTCTGAACCGAACCGTAGCCATGCTAGCGGGAAGACCTCGCCAGCCCAACCCTGCTCCTCCATCTTAGCCCAACTACCTCTCTCTCTCTCTGTCTCTCTCTCTCTCTGTCTCTCTCTCTCTGTCTCTCTCTCTCTGTCTCTCTCTCTGTCTCTCTCTCTCTGTCTCTCTCTCTCTGTCTCTCTCTCTCTGTCTCTCTCTCTCTCTGTCTCTCTCTCTCTCTCTCTGTCTCTCTCTCTCTCTCTTTTCGAGCCAGGGTTTCACTGTGTAGCCCTGGCTGTCCTAAAACTCACACTGTAGACTAGGCTGGCCTTGAACTCAGAGTTCTGCCTGCCTCCTGAGTGCTGGGGTTAAACACAGGCACCACCACCGCCTTGCTAGCCTGATTCTTTTTAATTTACAAGATGTAAACAAACCTATTTTAAATTGGGGGAGGCAGGATCTAGATTGGCATTGTCTGAACAGTGCTACCAATTTACCCGAGGCTTTAAAATATTTATACAAGCTGGGCGATGGTGGCGCACGCCTTTAATCCTAGCACTCGGGAGGCAGAGGCAGGTGGATCTCTGTGAGTTCGAGACCAGCCTGGTCTACAGAGCTAGTTCCAGGACAGGCTCCAAAGCCACAGAGAAACCCTGTCTCGAAAAACCAAAAAAAAAAAAATATTTATACAAAAATTGGGGCTGGTGAGATGGCCCGGAAGATAAAAGCATTTACTGTGCAAGCCTTGTGACTCCCAAACCTACAGTGGAGAGAACTGAGTTCTGAAGATTTCTCACACACCCACCACCACCACCACCACCACCACCACCACTGATTTTATTTTATTTTTTTTATTTTTTTGGTTTTTCGAGACAGGGTTTCTCTGTGGTTTTGGAGCCTGTCCTGGAACTTGCTTTGTAGACCAGGCTGGTCTCGAACTCACAGAGATCCACCTGCCTCTGCCTCCTGAGTGCTGGGATTAAAGGCGTGCGCCACCACCGCCCGGCCCACCACTGATTTTAAAAGTGAGGTCTTATCTCTGATTATTGCCAAAGACTAATGAAAAAAAGAAAAGCTAAGCAGTAATTGGTGATTTAGGCTTCAACACTGCCCTCTAGTTAATCTTAATTCTAACTGTGAGTTTGAAAACATTTTTTTTTTTTGAGACAAGGTTTTTCTGTGTAGCCCCAACTGCCCTTGAACTCTTGAACTTGATCTGTAGACCAGGGTGGCCTTGACCTCTAACTCATAGAGTGCTCTGCCTCTTGAGTGCTGGGACTAAAGGCGTGCGCCACCTCTGCCTCCTGTCCCGGAACTAGCTCTTGTAGATCAGGCTGGCCTTGAACTACCTTTTCTTTCTTAGGGTCTCACGTGGCCCAGGCTAGTTTGGAAGTGTAGCCAAGGATGACCCCAAGCTCCCGGGATTGCAGTGTCTGCCGTCCACGGGTTTATGTGGTATACTACCAACTGAGCTCCAACCCTGGCCCAGACCTGTCCTCGTGATCCTCACCTCCATATGTCGGGTCCATTGCACCAAGTCTGGGGCTCTGTGCATCTTACCGTCTCCTAGGAGGAAGAACCGAAAGGGGGCACCCAAGAGGGCAGAATTAGGGTAGAGCTGACCTTGATCTGGAAAATGCTTTCTGTGTGCTCACTAGCCTCTCTGTTCCCAGGCAATATTTAGAGCCGTGAGTGGAGTCACAAGAAGGGGGAGTGATGTGTGCAGTGAATGAGGCCATTGGCAAGAAAGAGTCTGGTGCAGTCGCTGGAATCAGGGACGAAGTGCTCCATTCACCCTTAGAGAAGGAAAGGCTGCGCTCTGAGCATCTCTTTCCTCCATGCCAGTCCGACTGGGAATAGCACAGAAACCTCTGGCTTCCCAGGTAGCAAGGAAGGGAGTTTCCAGCAGCACAGCTCACTCTGCTAAGCAGGACGCCTCACCTCAGGTCGGCGGGGGTGGGGCGGGGGCTCACCTTCTCCACAGACTACCTTCTCCTGCGTCTCTCCCACCCCTTCTCTTCTCCGCAGTTGGAGCCTCGTTGACTCCATGGTGGCAGTCTGGAATGGGCAGTGGGCAGCGGCTGTCTGTCTTCTCCTTTCCTTCTCAACCTACCTCATAGGTTGAGCTCTTACCCACTCGGAGATCTGACAGCTCCAGAGACTAAAGTCCTTTCTGGAGGGCGGGGGGTCAGATAGGTTATCTCTCTGTACTCAGGGCTTCTCAGGTCCTGGCTCTGCTCTCTAGCCTCTCTACCCTCAACCACAATGGCCAGCTTCATGCTTGCTATCTCGCTTTTAGGAGTGAATCTGTGCCTGAGGCTGGGAGGGGGACTTTGCCTCCTAGTGCTTATCACCTGGGCTCCTACTGGCCCTCTTTAGGGAGGCTGAAGGTCAGGGAGGGGCCAGAAACATCGTCCTGTACCTGGTATTCAGCTCTCTGAGGGCACATGATGGGGTCTGTAGGTACATGTGTATAATGATGTTTTGTTGAGGTCTGTTATTGTGACGTGTGACGTTGAGGTCCCTTCAAGTTATTCTAGGCAACAAGGCCCCCTGAATGTCAGCTCTTCTCTACACCTTGGGTTACCACGTAAGCAGAAAGGTCAGACTCACACTTATTCACTACTGAATAGTGCCAGGGGGTTGTGATGCTTCCCTTTGCCGTCCCCTGCCCATGGAACTGCAGAGAAAGTGGCCCAAGGCCCAGGTGACCGCCAGCACAAATAATCTGGAGAAACACAGGGAACCTGAACACCGGTAGAGAACAGAGGGCAGGTAAGCACTTTGAGACTTCCCTTTTGGCAAATTCCTGCTGGGGATTAACCATTAATCTTCCTCCTCCATCAGTCCAAAGATCAGCAATAGAAACAAGGTTGCAGCCACCATAACCTCACCAGCAGCCAGATGCTACAGCAGGCGGTGATCTCAGCCAGTCCCCAGGCGGGAACCCAGGTGGGTGTCTGGTGAGGCTAGAGGGTGGGAGGCCCACACCAGTGGCAGTCTGCTGGCATTGCTAGGAGGATGGAAGGACTGACAGGGTCTATGAGTAACGGGTAGACAGAGAGCCTGGGTCTCCAGAGCTGTAAGGGATGGACACACAGACATAAACCAGAGACCCCAACACAGCTTTATTAGTGCCCCAATCAGCATTTTTCTAGCTAGATGTGTCAAAGCTGAGGGCGAGGGGAACAACGGGACAGGGCCTGAAGGCTGGTCTCGGGGCACAACGCCCGGGT